AAAAAAGAAACAGCTCGTCTTTCCACTTTATTTTGTAGTAATTTTATTGCGCAAGAGTATTGGTGGTGACAGGTTGGCAATTAAAAAACAAACTTGTGCTTTACAGCAGGTGGAGATGTGCTGCACGAGGTTGTCTTCTGCATTTCTTAGCGTTGCTTCGGCTGAGTTAGAATACGTGGTGGGGAACCCTGCGTTGGAGATCTCTCCGGTGTTGGGAGTAGTTCTCTATTTGGCTTTCCTAAAAATTTCACAAAGACATTTCCACATGATTTGGTAGTCATAAGGTGAACCTTTTATATATTTGATCCCCTCTCCCCAAAATCTAATTGAAATTACAGAGGAAGAAACTAAAAATCTTATCAAAAGTTTTTCAGCCAAGTGAAAATGTGATTTGATTTCCCACTGTCTCCTTATGGAACCTTCCTTTTCTATTGGGATACCCTTAACCGCCTGCCTGAAATAAAAGTAAGCATGTTCATTATAGAAAATATGGATAAATAAAAAGGACAGATTCATTCGTGAACTTGAAAATAACCTCTGTATTGTGTTTGTGTCCTTCCGGATTTTTTCTGAGTATTTCCCCAAGTGGTATGCGATTATACACATTTTTCTTAAAAAGTCTGCTGTCAACTTTAAGGAGTTTAAGGATTTAGCATTTTTGCAATTAGGACAGTTTTCAGAAAAATATCAGATATTAAATTATAGGTGAATAAAAAGAACCACACTTGAAAGCATTTTATTTGCCACTTTTATTGTGTTTTGTGCTTTAGGTTTTATAAAGAGATTTGAATTAGATGGGTGTTTTTGTTTAGAATGCAATGAGTAATTCATATTACTAATTTTAGGAAGCCTTCAAAGCTGTGGAAGACATTCACGGGCTGTTCTCCTTATCTAAGAAGCCGCCTAAACCTCAGTTGATGGCAAATTACTATAATAAAGTCTCAACTGTGTTCTGGAAATCTGGAAATGCTCTGTTTCATGCGTCTACACTCCATCGCCTCTACCACCTGTCTAGAGAAATGAGAAAGAATCTTACCCAAGACGAGATGCAGAGGTAAGAATGTTACAGAATTGAGTTTATGAAGCAGCTGGTTACTACTAAATGCCGTGGTGCAGTATGTTGTAGATTAGGGCTTCTCAGCGTCTGCACTGTTGACATTTGTGTGGATCTGGATAATTGATTGTGGTGAGGGACTGTGCATTTAGGCAGCAGCATCCCTCATTTCTGCCCGCTGGATTCCTTAGCAGTCCTCCCAGTTTGTGACGGCCAAAAGTGTCTCCAGACATTCTTCTTGGACAGTATTCTTGGTCTTCAGTAGCCGTCTTGTCCAATAACCAACTCTGCCAAAGGCACAGTTGAGAAAGATTGATTAAGAATATTGAATATAAAAGACAGTGTTAAGGTGTAAGCTTTCTATCCCCATACAGGTATTTAGAATCTATTCTTAGGGTACAGCAGGGAGAACACGGATTGAAAAAACAAAGGGACAGAAAAACCCAGTAAGAAACAGCAGAGCAGGGAAGAAACACTACTGGATTCACCAAGTAATAAGAAACGATTTTGCACAGAAAAGCAGTACTGCAGTATAGTAAACTGAACATAGTGTTTTTCTTAAACCTAAAATAAATGTGACTCGGGCAAAAAAAAAATCTTAGAACAAATTAGACACTTGAAAATACTTTCCATAAAGTCACTTTTTGTCCTGATTATAAAAATATTAACTATGTAAAATATTTAGGGTACATATAAAAATGACTATTTAAAATGGTCTATAAGCTAGCATTTTAAAGACCAATTTATTTTGAACATTGTCTGTAGTCTGTTTTCTTTCAGTCATTTTCCTCTTTTAAAAAATTAGTTTTCAGTTGGACTTAGGTGATTCATCTACCATTCTTTTTCTCTATGAGATTTTGGCCTCCAGTAGAACTGTGTTTTTCTTTTAGTTTTACAGCAATAATAGAATCAACTTAAATGAATTTTTCTAGTATATTTTTGAAACTCTTGAGGAAGGACCTTCTATAAGAGAGGACCTTACAGAGAGTACTGTAATAAAAAGCACTAGGTTATTTAGCTTTATGTTGTATCTTTCCTTAATCAAGTATGTTGCCTGAGATCCAGTCGTGAAAGTGGAAAAGTGGGCACGCCAGCCTGTGGCCGGGGGGCTGCGAACTTGCAGCCCTCCGTGTCCAACAGTTCACTTTTCCTTTCCTTTTGTGTTTCTAGGGGAGCTGAAATGTAGCTTTTATTTTCTTCTCTTAATTGTGTTCACTTACGGTCCTTACAGGTTTTTTCCCCCTTTCCTGCTATTATTTTTCCCTTAAATTTTAAAGCTGCCTAGTTTTTGTAAGGAGCTAGGGGTGTGCAAATGTGTTTCTCTTGCCTTTTAACCTCGTCTTTCTCTGTAGCTAGAAACCGCTGGCAGTAGTAAGTGGATGGATGAAGTTCTGATTCTCCAGGTGTTCATTTTAGCGTGGCCCATTTCTTAATTGGCCGTCTGCCTTGATGAATAATACTTACATGTACAGTTCACATGGTGGTATACATATTCTGTCACTGGTACATTGTACCAGATAATCAGAGAATAATCTCTTTCTGCCTTTTAAGTAACATTTACAGATTTAATAGGTTTGTAATTTTGTTCTCCAGAATGTCCACGAGAGTGCTTTTGGCTACTCTTTCCATCCCTATTACCCCCGAACGAACTGACATCGCCCGACTTCTGGACATGGACGGCATTATAGTTGAAAAACAGCGGCGCCTCGCCACACTGCTGGGTCTTCAAGCCCCACCCACGAGAATCGGCCTTATTAATGACATGGTACATGTTTGACATTTTTAGAGCTTTGAACAAAACTTGGGTCAGGTTTTGCAGTTCCTGGTGGTATATACTGGGAGTTCTGATGCATGGAGAGATTTTTCAAACTGGTGTTGTAGGTCAGCACTGTGTTCATTTGAGGTGATTTGTCTCTAGTGGCTGAGCTGGATTTAAACTTGATTAGTAGATGGAACATGGAGTAGCTCTGAGTAGCTATAGTATGGACCATACCACTCAGTAAGAGAAGAATGATGGGCGAGAAGTTTCATGGCTTATTTCATGGGGGCTGTAGGAAGACTGATCAAATGTACAGAATTGGGAAATAGGCTAAAATGCAGATTTCTAGATTTTACCTACTGCATACACTAAATCAGTTTCAGAATACGGAGCCTACACTTTGTATGTTTACAGTGTTTTACACTGATGGAATCTTTTTATTAAGCAAAACTTTGTCATGTGAATGCCTGTTATATGCCAGGCTAGTGATATGTAAGTGGAGTTTGTATTCCTGGGGAGTAGATTTTAGGGGTTCTCATTTGCCATGTGTGACTCAGTAGTTACTGTGGTAAACCTCCAGTAAGTAACTTCACACAAGAAAAACAGGGATGGGTGCTCCGGGAAAGGCCTGCCTTTCTTGGCAGAATTGCTTATTTTAGGTAAGAGCTACAGTAAATTTCCCTATGTTCGTGGGGGATACGGTCCAAGGCCCCTAATGCATGCCTGAAACTTCCACAAGTAACTGAACCCTATACATACTATGTTTTTTCCTATATGTATGTACTTAAGATAGAGTTTAATTTATAAATTAGCCATAGTAAGAGATTAACAATGGTAACTGAAAATAGAAAAGAACCATTATGTCCTATTATGTGAATGTGATCTCTCAATATTTTAATGTACTATACTTACCTTTTCACTTAAAGGAGAGCGATTTACAGCTTTGGTATCTCCAATTGTCAGCATCACTAGTCTCACTCTGAGCATTAAGTAACATAAGGGTGACTGGAACTCAAGCTCTGGGATGCAGCTGGTCAGATGACCTGACCAGATAACTGTAAGGCCACACAGTGTCGATAGCAGGACAAAGGGATGACGTGGCATAGAATGGCAGGACGTTGCTCAGAATGGCACACAGTTTAAAACCTGCAGTTTGTTGATTTCTGGCAATATAATATTATAAATAGTGATGCTGTGATCATTTTTGTGAGGTTTAGTTATTTAATTAGCAATAATCGCGCCTCGGATAAACCTCATTGGCTATGATACTGCCACTGGGCAAAGCTAGGTTTAGTTATTTATAACTCTGGTATTTTACTTGTTATTGATAACAAGTTAGATTATTTTGACCACGTGAGTTATATTTGTAAGTAACTTATTGGTAGTGTTTAGAGTTTTTATTTCCTTTCTAAGTTCTTGTGGGGCTTTTCACTGTAGATAGTTGCATAACTTGGAGCCAGAGACTCAGCAGTTGTCCTGGATTTCTCCTCAGTAAATTAAAGATGGATGCTAGATAGTCTTGCATTTTTCAGATATCAGGTTCTGTTTTCTTCAGTTTATCATCTGTTCAGAATCCCAGTTTGAAAACTTCCTTTAGCAACTCAACTTATTTTTAAATTTAATCTTTATTGTATTTTTTCCCTATTACCATGTAATCCTCTTAAACCTGCCTCCCCCAGCAATTAACCCTCTTGTTCTGTGTACTGCAGGTCAGATTCAATGTATTGCAATATGTTGTCCCAGAAGTGAAAGACCTTTACAATTGGCTGGAAGTGGAATTTAACCCACTGAAACTCTGTGAGAGAGTCACAAAGGTAGGCCTTCGCATTCAGTTTTGTGTTAGGTCCCCGTGCGAGCCTGGCCCGTGCAGTTGTAGTTTATGTTTCTATTAGTAAGTGCGAAGTATTATATTGTCCTGTGTATTTGAATTCAGTGCACATTTCTTTCTTGTTTTTTTTTTCTTTCCCTCCCTCCCTCTTTCCCTCCCTCCCTCACTCTCTCTTTCTTCATCTGAGTGCATGCTTATTGATTTTTTTAAAGAGGAGGTGGGGGAGGGAGGGAGGGAAGGAGTAAGGAAGTGAAACATCAGTCGGTGGCCTCTTGTATGTACCTGGAGGACCAAACTTGCAACCTTTGGGTTTGTGGGACAACATCCCAACCAACTGAGCCACACTGGCCAGGGCTTCAGTGCACATTTCATTGTCTGCTTTCTTTGTGACAAGAGAAAAGGTATTTCTGATGTGGGAAACAAACCTGTGGGGGTAAATTAGCAGTGTGACTGACCTTAGCTGTTGCTGCCAGTCGCCTTCAGACAAGACCCATGAGTTTTGTAAGACATTCTGCATTTCTTTGTGTTGTGTGATGTTTTTGTATGTTAAGAAAATTGGGGGAATAATTGAAAAGGTTTTGTAGGTGTTACAGTGTCTGTCCCATAGTAAGTATAACTCTTTCTCAATTTAATGTGTTTTTATAGGTTCTAAATTGGGTGAAGGACCAACCCGAAAAGGAACCAGAACTGCAACAGTATGTCCCACAGCTGCAGAACAACACCATACTTCGTCTTCTGCAGCAGGTAAAAATGAAAAATGGATGTTTTATGTAAGAACTGGAATTTCTCCCCTTGATTGTTTTTATTGTGAAACTGAAAAAATTTAAGAATGGCCCAGGAAGTGCAAGACTCCCCAAATTCTCCCTGTCCAAAATCAGTCTTATTGATATTTGATTTGGGAAAAAAGACTTCTGTGTAATTTATAATTTTTTTCTCTTCTTTTGTTGAATACTCTTAGTACATTTTTTCCTTGTTGGTAATGGCTTTTCATTGCCTGAGGGTACCATAACTTATTTATTCAGACTATTGATGCAATCTGTATTCCTGGGCTTCTTGCTTTTAGAAAGTGTTGCAGTGAGCATGTTTGTTACTTCTGTGACTTTCTGTAGCGTGAGTAGTAGAAGTAGTCATAGAGTTTATGCCTTTGAAGCTTTAATAGCTCCTGAAAAGATTCCTTAAGGAGCCCTCCCACCAGTTGCAAATGAGAGCCTTTTCTCTTGCATACAGTAGGTATTATCAGTCTTCTAATATATTTTAGCCCAGTTTACTACTTACGTTAGACTATTTTGACTATTTTGATTTATAATACGGTTTAAAGTTTGTTTTGTTTTCTTTCCATTTGTTTCATTTGGAGGAGGGGCTTTTATATGTTCTTTTCAGTAGTTGTGCACATTTCATTGACCTGCTTTCTCGTATATGTGAGCAGTGTTATTTCTTATGTGCTATACAAGTAGTTGAAGGTTAATTAGCAGTATAACTGCATAGTAATACTGCCAGTCTCCTTCAGACAAATAGTTCTAGAAAACTGTTCAGATGAATCAGGTAGCAGGTCTTTATCTGCAAATATGTAATCAGGGGGGTTGGTTTTGTTTTATGAAATTATAAAAAGATGCTTTTCAAAAATAGTATAGTATGATGGTTTGAAGCATAGGATTAGATGTTGAGAGCCTTGCATTGGAATGCCAGTTCCAGCTATGTACCGTTAATATAGATACTCTGAACTTCAACTTCTTTTCTCTGAATAATGGGCATAGTTTCTACTTCCCGTGTATGAGACTGCACATAAAAAATACTGAATAAATGATAGCTATTATTAGTAACCTTGTGTTTTTTATGCAGGTGGCACAAATTTATCAGAGCATTGAGTTTTCTCGTTTGACCTCTCTGGTTCCTTTTGTTGATGCTTTCCAACTGGAACGGGCCATAGTAGACGCAGCCCGGCACTGCGACCTGCAGGTGTGTGTCGTGAGAGGCTCTGAGGGGGAGGCTGGGCTTTGAGGGCTAAAACCGGCTGAGGGCTTTGGTGTCTCAGCTTTTGGTACGTTGGCAAAGCTTGAGTAAATCTTCCAGGTTTTTTATTCAACATCCTTTTGTTGATTTGCTTCTCATTCAGTTGAAATTTTTAATCAAAAGTTATTCATTCGAAGGATGACTTTATGTGCGTATGGATTTAACTGCTGATAATATCAATTTTCAAAGGTTCGCATTGACCACACCTCTCGGACCCTGAGTTTTGGATCTGATTTGAATTATGCTACTCGAGAAGATGCTCCACTTGGTCCTTATTTGCAAAGCATGCCTTCGGAGCAAATAAGGAACCAGCTGACAGCCATGTCCTCAGTACTTGCAAAAGCACTTGAAGTCATTAAACCAGCTCATGTACTGGTATGCATCTTTGGGAGAAAAGAACTGCAGAAATTTTGAGGGGCCCTTGTGCTACATCTTTCATGAAAAGGTTTGAGATGGTGTCTGAGAGAAGGGACTTAACTCTATTACCTATTCAGTTGTATTTGGTAGTTTCGATATTTTTATCAAATTTCTGTATCAGATCACCTGTCAGTGAGCTGCCTTCCATGGGATAAAATACCGCAGTCCACGTAATAATGAGTGTTGGGATAGACCACACAGTGATGATCCCCCCCAGGAGAGGGAGTACTGTCTGTCCTTGGGCTTTGCCTTCATGTCCAAGTTGTTTTTCCCTTGTTTGTGCATTCTTTTAATGTTCCCTTCTTGGCTAGAACATTTCAAAGTGGATTGGGTGCAGTGAAAAGTTGACTTTGTAGCGAATAGAGGTTTTTCAGCCATGTTACCGCTGTGGGAGGAGTGTCATGGCCTTTGGGACTGAGAGCTAGTAGCTTGAATAATCAATCATCTTGTGTTGTTAAATGCAGATGCATAAGGGTAATGCCTGGGGTTATTTAGTAGTTTTTGATGCCTAATACCGTGGTAGCTGACTTAAACTTTTGAATTAACATTTGTTTTCAAAGCAAGAGAAAGAAGAACAGCACCAGTTGGCTGTTACGGCATACCTTAAAAATTCACGGAAGGAGCATCAGCGTATCCTGGCTCGCCGTCAGACAATTGAGGAAAGGAAAGAGCGGCTTGAGAGTCTGAATATTCAGCGTGAGAAAGAAGAATTGGAGCAGAGGGAAGCCGAACTGCAGAAAGTACGGAAGGCTGAAGAAGAGAGGCTGCGACAGGAGGCAAAGGAGAGAGAGAAGGAGCGCATTTTACAGGAACATGAGCAGATCAAAAAGAAGACTGTTCGTGAGCGGCTAGAACAGATCAAGAAAACAGAACTGGGTGCCAAGGCATTCAAAGATATCGATATCGAAGTATGTGGTGCATCGCTCATTAAACTCAGTTTTGTCCAGCTTCTCTCCGGAGCATGGCCCATTGCCATTTGTTGGTATATTTTGAGTTATTTGGTTGTTCACTCATTTTGGTACATAAGATTTATTAACTACTTACATGAAGTAAGCATTTGTTTTTAATGGCTCTGCAATTTTCAGCATATTGGAGGAGTGAGAAATAGGTGGTATTTTCTCCTTATAATAAAGTAGAAGTACGGCTATTGCAAAACATTTTTACGTTGCCCAAATTTTCCCCTTGTAAACATTGACTCATTGTGTAAAAAGTAACTTAGGATTTGATTCTAGAAGCAGTGCTCCATTGCATTTCTTTTACATTCTTATTTATTTAAAGATTTTATTCATTTATTTTTAGAGAGAGGGGAAGGGAAGGAGAGAGGGAGAGAAACATCAGTGTGTGAGAGATACGTGGTTGCCTCTCACACACCACCAGCTGGGGACCTGGCTCACAACCTGGGCATGTGCCCCGACTGGGAATCAAACCAGTGATCTTTCGATTTGCAGGCCAGCACTCAAGCTACTGAGTTACACCATCCAGGGCTATATTCTTATTATTGGTTGTACATTTGTATTACTTTTCAGGACCTTGAAGAGTTAGATCCAGATTTCATCATGGCTAAACAGGTTGAACAACTGGAGAAAGAAAAGAAAGAACTTCAGGAACGCCTAAAGAATCAAGAAAAAAAGGTAAATGAAAAGACTGCTAGTAAACTTTTAACATGTTAAATTAAGAGATTTTTTTTTTTTTAAAAAACCTCCATTTGTTTTCATGTTACTCAGATTGACTATTTTGAAAGAGCTAAACGTTTGGAAGAAATCCCTTTAATAAAAAGTGCTTATGAAGAACAGAGAATTAAAGACATGGATTTGTGGGAACAACAAGAAGAAGAAAGAGTAAGATTTCAACTTAATTGAAATATTTTTAGGCTGTAAGCTGTAATTAAATCCTTTGCCAGCAATGGGATCATTGATTTCTTTTGTATTCTTTGCCAGATATGGTGCTTTAACGATTACATATGAACAGATGGGTGGGCAGAAATTTTTACAGTGAGACTGAAAAATGAAGCTTCTAAAGTAGCAAAGGACAGCTGAAAAGTGTAGTTTTTAAGACAGCTTTATGGGGATATACTGTACTTTTGCTGTGTATAATACACATAGTTTTGCCCTAATTTTTAAAGGAAAAGTAAGGATGTGCACTATACATGGGTAGTACTAATTCCGTATCTATGTAAATATTTTACTTCTTTTGTTTATGCTTATGTGTTAAAAGTGTAACTCTAGAGAGCAGTAACGATATCTGTGTTAAAAAATAAATGCTGAAATATCTTCATAATACAAAAAACAAGTATAAATAAATTAGTAATTGAATTAAAAAATTAAAGTGAAAGATTTTTTTCCTGAAAGTTCGGGTCAAAAACGTGGGCGTGCATTATACACGGCAAAATACGGTAACTCACGTGTCTTGTCATTCACCTATGGAAAGCGTGCAGTTGACGTTTTTTAGTGTATGTCCAGAACTGTGCAGCCATCTGATTTTGGAACAGCTCAGAAGAAACTTGGTATGCGTTATCAGTTATTCCTCATGTCACTTCTACCACCTGGCTGTAGGCAGCCTCTTTTTTGCCTTCAGATTTGCCTATTTTGGGTATTTACGTAAGGGAATCCTACAATATATGACTAGATTGCTCCCTCTTTCCTAGTCGCTGTTTACCTAATACACAAAAATAAGGTTTGTAGTGGCCGAAGTTGTAATACAACGATCTCATTCTGGTTAAGAAGAGTTAGGTAACCACAGGCAGGAGACAGTGTGCACTTGCGGGGGCTGCAGTGTGGAGAACGCAGCCCTCTTCTTGGTTCCGTCGGCTTGTCATTTGGGCCTAGTGTTGCCAGTTCGTTCTTTCTTTTTTTTAAGAAGTTGGAATTTTAGTGATAATTCTCTTTGAAATTAGGAAAAATGCTGCAGACCAAATAAAATAATTTAAGATGATTTACTGCAATCTCTGTCCTGAAGCCTCATCTTTTTTTTTTTACTTGGGGCACAAATAGAAAAGCCTGAACCTCCAGTTTTATTTCTTTTTTGTGTGGGTTGGTTGGTTGCTTGGTTGGTTATTTATTTAG